CAGGGGTAGGTTAATTACCAAGGTAACTTTATTTGCCAAGGAAATTATTATGATTAATATGTATTGTTTCACCATGTACCACTAGGCAGGTGAATGAGAGGTCAGGAATCAGTCATGAAGCATATTCAGGGAACAGTGAGAATCACAACTTCTCAGGGTTTATATCTTTATTTATTGCATGCTCAAAACTCACAACTAAATGGAGAATGAACACACACACTTTACTACCGGAGTCCAAGCCTTTCTGCCCAATGGGAGGTGAGGCTGGATCACTAGAACATGGCCTAGCAAGATGGCTCAGTGGGTAAAGGCAGTCATCACACAGGCCAGCAACCTGAGTCTAGTCTCGAGAATGCATATAAAGGTGGAAGGAGGGAACTGATTCTGTAGTTACCCTCTGATCTCCACACTGGGGCTGTGGCATGCACCCCACCCTAAATAAATAAAAGACTTTTTAAAACAAATCATCTCACGTCCTGAGCAGCAACACTAAAGGCAGCTGCTGGCAGAACTGGGTCCTTGTTCCCAGCTAACACTGTTAATGTGACAAATGCCCTTCATTGGGGTATGATTGCTGGGATTATCTCTGCTTCCATCTAGCAGACAGACACAGTTTTGGCCACACAAGCCCTGTGTGCTGATTCTGTCACTGGAGAACTGCTGAGTGTGGACTTAGACACTGAGCTGTCAGCATCCTGGCTGTTCTTTGAAGAGGAGACACGGCATTGCCATAGAGTTCACCTTTATGGTTTAACCCAAGTGTCCTGGATTTCACTGCTGGAAATCGCCTGTGGCTAACTAGCTTTATGGACGAAGGGAAGCCTGGTGTGCAGAGTGGAGGTAGCTGGTACAGGTTTCCTGTGAAATGAAAGCAGGTCCTGAGGGGCACTCAAGAGGGGCCATTCCAAGGCAGTTTCCCCTCCTGCTGGGCCCTCCCTTCATGTTCCTGGAGGATCAATATCAATAACTCCCTTTGATCCTGAGAACAGAAGCTGTCATGAGATTGCATCATCAGTTCCCAAGCTTAAAGGAAAGTAAGTATGGGAATGTGGTTCTGTCTTGGTTGTTAGGATTAGATAATGACCCCTTAGTAGGCATGCAGTGAGTTGCTGCAGCATTTACAGAAGCCCCAAAGTTAGTTCATTCTCCAAGGGCTGCCTTTTGTACAGAATCAAGTCACTGTGTTCTAAACACAGGTGATTGCTCTTACCAACTGTGTCACAGGCCAGGAGACCAGGGCAGCTGAGATGTTATGCAGTTTGCTCAAGGTCACCCTAGAGACATTTCCTAGAGTTTTGTAAGTCTGGTGTAAAGGTTTTAAAATAGAAGAGGCCGCCTTTTTTTTTTTTTTCTTCCTGTTGTCCCAAAGGACACAGCAGTGACAATGAACACAAAACACGAGCCAGCAGCCAGGCTTCAACCACCCTGGTTTGCAAAGTATGTATAATAGCTCTCTTGGAGGACTTAGATAGACGTTAGATCAGTAACATGAAGCACCTACCACAGTGCTGGGCATGTCAGAGGTTATCAAAAAGCCAATTCCAGGGTCAGGACAATAGCGTAGATGGAAGCATGGGAACCTTAGTTTGATTCCCCAAAATCCAGGTATGCTGGCACAGGCTTATAGTCCTGGTACTGGAGAGGCAGAGACAAGAGGATACCTGGGGCTTGCTGGCCAAACAGTCTAGCTTAATTGGTGAGCTCCCAGCCAATGAGAGACTGTCTCAAAAGGACGTGGATGGTGTTCCTGAGAATGGAAGTTGTCCTAGAAGCCACACACACACAACACACACACACACACACACACACACACACACACACACACACACACACACACACACAAGCAGCTCATTGCTGTCCTCTTTCCAACATGGTATCCAGTGGTGTAAGTATGGCACTTATATCAAACACATTCATCTATAGATCCCCAAGAGGCCTAATTTATACTCTCCCAGTGCACAAGGTAGGTGTGGACTTCTAATACGTGAAGGCTTCTAAGTTCTCAGTGATCCACAAAGGTGACCCATGATGTTCAAAGTCACCTTCATTTAAAGAGGATATAAATAGGCAATATGAAAAAAAATGCAGAATGGGGAAAAGCTAGATTAATTGAAATTAAACTATTAATGTTCTTTTCATAAGCGCTGGATGGAGAAGGAATGAAAATCTCTCTTCTCTCCTCACCTGGCCTCTCCTCTCTTCCCCTCCCTGCCTAGCTCTCCTCATTGTTTCCTAGGCTGGTCTTGAACTAGTGAGCTTAACCCAGTTTTCCCAGTAGCTGAAGGCCAGGCATGTGCCACCATACCAACTTTATGTTAATTCTTGTACTCTTGGCATTTTGCTTCTCAACTAGGATGGAGACCTTGGCCTGAAATACAGCTTTCACCTTGGCTGAGGAAGAGGGGCACTACCCTGATGGGTTAGCATGCTGAATGGGTTAGCATGCTGGAGCCCTGGCAGGTAACGGCGTTCAGAAATGGGGAGTCCAGATGTGGGAGATGTTCCTTTGGTGGGACAGCAGCGGCACAGTGTGTGGTGTAAAAGGGGGGTTGTAACACCCATTGGAAGTGCTTGGACATAAATCACGAACTGATGAGCAGCAAAGGGTTCTTCTGTTGCTGTTGTCTGGTTTAAATTCATAGTGGCAATGCTACTTTTGTAAAATTCTCTATCAAATTATTAGAGCAATAACATTAACACAAATCATACAAAATACAATCAAGACAGTATATAAGCCCTGGTTGCAAAAGCCTTACAAATCTGAAGACCCACGTGGTCCACTTACAGATGGAGAAACCAACTTGTCCCTGCCCACAGCTCACCAATGGACACGAGGAGCAACCTGGTGCTTCTCCACAAGCCACAGGGCAACTCTCGAGCTCTTACCCTTCTACCAGTCAGAGGGCAGAGCAGAGGCAGTCTGCTCTTTGTCACTGTGCTAGAAAAAAACCTATGACGTTCAAAATTTCAGTTATAAGACAAATACTACTTAATGCAATATTGTCCTAAAAATCAGAAAGTTACACAAAGACAGGATGGATAGTAGTGCTGAATAACCTTGGAGTCTGAGATAAAAGGTAAAACCAGGTACCCTGTCTTTATTTGGGGGCTGGGGAGGCAGCTTAGTTGGTAGAATGCTTACCCAGAATTCACAGAGCTCTGCATAATCTTGGTGTAGTGGCACAATCCCATAATGCCTGAACTCAGGAGGTGGAGGCAGTGGGAGTCTGAAGTTCAAGGTCATCCTGGATTAAATGCAGCCCTGTTTTTGTTTGTTTTGTTTTGAATATTTTGAAACACAGATTTTTATTGCAATAATTTTGAAAAAAATTGTCATATGTAGGGCATTTAGCAATGTAGGTAGGTCACTGTATGAACAGTGCTCCTACAGGCTATAAGCAGTAAGGGTGTAAGGCTGGACTTGGTGGATCATGCCTATAACCCAGTTCTGGGAAGGCTGAGAAACAGGGATGGTTAGAACTATGGGGGGGGGGGGGGGGGGTGTGTGTGCGCAGATGTGGAGGGAAGTGGGGGGGGTGTCAGAAAATGTCTCCAAGCAAAACAGTTTCCCTGTTCTGTCTGTTTTCAGACTCCTCTGACTCGAGAAAATGTCATCAATGTGTTTTCAGAAGGAAACATACAGATTTCAGAAACATTAGCATATGCCCTCCGCAAACCCATAAAATTTAAGAAACACCATACATTATTTTTTTTCTTTATGCAGACATATTCTCAACAATGTAGCCCAAGTTGGTCTCCAACTTCACACACACAGTCCCATCCCAGCCTCAGACTCCTGAATGCTGGGATTAGAGGTGTATATCACCATGCTTGACTAATAAAATATATTTTAAAAGATTTATTTTATGTATATGTGTGTATGCCTGAGCAAACATATGTGTACCCTGTTTGTGCTGGATCTCTTAGAGGTCAGAAGAGAGCATTGGGTCCTCTGGAACTTGAGTTACAGGTGATTGTAAGCCATGATGTGGGTGTTGAGAACCGAACCCAGCTCTTCTGCAAGAGCAGTAAGTGCTTTTAATCACTGAACCATCTCTCCAGCCCATAAAATATTTTTTTAAAGACTTAAGTTTTTTTTTTTTTTTTTTTGGTTTTTCGATACAGGGTTTCTCTGTAGCTTTGCGCCTTTCCTGGAACTCACTTGGTAGCCCAGGCTGGCCTCGAACTCACAGAAATCCGCCTGCCTCTGCCTCCCGAGTGCTGGGATTAAAGGCGTGCGCCACCACCGCCCGGCAAGACTTAAGTTTTTTTAAAATGTGTGTGTATGTGTGTACAGGTGGGCATGTGCCATGGACCCCATGTGGAGGGCAGAGGACAACTTTAGGGAATCAGTTCTCTCCTTCCACCTCGGATTTTATTTTGTGTTTGAAGCAGGGTCTCTCTTGTTACTGCTGCTGCACTAAGTACTGGCTCACAGGAGTGCTGGGATTACAGATGCACATCACTGCACACAGCTTTCACATGGGTTCTGAGAACTGAACTCAGGTTGTCAAGCTTGCTCACAAGTACTTTTATGTACTGAGCCATCTCAGGTCCCAATATTTAGATTAAGGATTCCAAGGCTCCAAAGTCTGCACTCCAAAAAAATTAAAGAGAATCGTTATTGATGAAAGATTATACATATTTATACAACTCATTGACAAAAGTATACATTATAACAATTGCTAAATGCTGCTCATAAAAACAGGAAGCCCATCTTGGTGGTTGTAGGCTTCAGTAACCCTGGCACTGTGGGGCACGAACAGAGGTGGATTCCAGGGGTGCCCTGGCCAGCCTACCTAGCTGAAATCTGGACACAGTTCTGTGAGAGATCCTGTCTTTAGAAATAAGTTCGAGAGAGGATTGAAGAGGACATCCTCATACCAACCTCTGGCATTCACAAACACACACACACACACACACACACACACACACACACACACAGTGGGCGGCTGCACAAAGGCAGGTGACATGATAAGGACATGATAAGGAGCATTGTGCCACCCCCCCCCCCCAGTCTTTCCTTCTGTCAGCTTCGTCTCTTTTGAGGATTACTTTCAAAGCCATTTCTTACTCATCATTTGGTGCCATTTATGCATCCTGGCAAATCATGACAAAGATGAACATTTCAATCCACAGAGAGATAACATTTACTTGACAGTCCTGGAGTGATTTTTTTTTAGTGGCCGAGGGTGGCTCCCCTGGATATTTACACTGCACCTCCTCACGCCCGAAATCCCTCACTTCTGCTTCTAAGGAGCAATTTGAACATTCAGAAGAATGATCTTTCGGAGTCTCTGGAAGTCCTTTAGCAAGGAGCCTGGCAAGAAACCTGTACCGCAGATGGAGATGAAAGTGTTGATCCTAGACAGGTTCTTTCAGAGTGCCCTCCAGACACTGCTTAGGGACACTCGTTGGGGGGCTCTGGGGAGAGGGTGTGCTTCATTCTTGGCTTGAAAGCATGGAGGGATGCACACAGACCAGGGACACCCCTCCAAACTGTAGAGTTTCACCTAATTTGCAGAAAGTAGCCTGGAAAAGTGGAAACCCAAGAGATAGTTGAACCTAGGTTGTCTCTCATGGGACAGACAGGTCCTTTCCTAAGTAATGGTCTCTAAATTGCGCTAACCAGGTCACCTCCTCCTCCGAGAGAGCAGGGAGAGGAGCAAAGGTCACCTCCTCAACCGCCCCATGGTATCTTGTCAAGGCGACCCCATCACGTTCATTCTTTGTGTAGCATCTGTGCATTACTGATTGCTGGGAGCAGATAGGCTGATGCCAGCTTCAGAGAGCTGGAGTGATCTTTGGGGTCATCTGGTCTTCAAACTCTGAGCAGGAGCGGAAGCGCGCCCCTCACTCACCCCAGAAGCCATGGTCGCACTGCCTGTGAGGAATACCCGAGCCCTGAGCAGCCCGCAGTGCCGGATCTGCAGCCAGTGACTCTGAAGGCTCCGAAGCACGTGGCGTGTTCGCCCTGGTTTTCAGGCTCTGACGCACCCATTTCCTCCCGTGGTCTCAGGACCTCAGCGTTTACAGGGATGCGTGTGCTTTTGCCGGGGGTCAGCTGCGCAACCCTTGATGAATGTGAAAAGAACCCAGTCGTGGAGAAAAGCCCGTGCACTCACCCTGCCACAGGCCTCTCTGGATCGGGATGCGGGTCCCCACGCCTCAGGGCGGCGGCGTTGTGCGAAGCAAGTGAGAATCACCCGAGTCTCTTAACGCCCGGGGTTTCAATTGTAGCGTGGTCGGGGTGTGGGTGTGTGTTTCCGGGGATCGGACCTAAACAGAGACGCTTCAAGACCAGATGGATCAGAAATCAGCTCCAGGCAAGTCCGGAGCCGACTTGTCTGAGACAGACAAGTGTACGCCGACCCGGGGGCGGCGTGGGCGGCGTGGGCAGCGTGGAGTGGGACAGTGGCGCCGCACACCGCTCACTTCCTGTTCAACACGCACCGCCTCCACCGCCCAGCGCTCCCGGAGCCTGAGTCCGTGCCAGGTCCGGCCCCTATAGTCCCCCGAGTCTTGGGGGACGGGGCTCAGAGGCCGCCCGGGGCGGGAGCCCTGCCCAATTCTCCCCTAGGGGCTGGGGCGCGCCCTTCGGCCCGCAGAACCCTGCCAGCCGCCGCCTCAGTTTATTCCTGCGGCCACGCGCCAGCCCAATTGCGAGGAGCCATCGCCTTTGCACCTCCTCTTCCCCCTCTGCCCTCCCTCTCGCCTAGAGAGGAGGCCCTCCGGGTCCCAGGCTCCCTAGTGCTTCATTGTGCGGCCCAGGGTTATGCATTTCTATACTAAGCTTCTCTTTCTGGTCACCGATTCCACCGAGGCACAGGCACGGAAAGGCTGTTTTCCAAATTGCTGTTGTTAATTGCACCTGCCTGGCCAATTACCTCTGGGAATCTGTGGGAGGAGCCGAGAGGTGGAAAATGTTGCTTCGCTTTGCAGGAGGAGGAAAACTTTGTCACCCAGCACGAGACTTCTGCCACCCGTAATCAAAAGCAGCGCGGTTCTCACTCTGCACTCGATGATTTGGTAGGAGGAAGAGATCGCTCCGACCCGGCATCCCGCGGACCGCCAGCCCCTCGGGTGCCGCCCCGCGTGTTACCTGCGCCACCCGCCCTCCCCGCGGAAGTCCCCACGAGGTGTTTTCAGGGTGGAAGGACAGTCTTAAAGAGCGCGCGGCTCCCGTGTAACGGCAGCAGCCCTAGGAGACAGCGAGGGGACCGAACCCCGGGGACGAGGCACCGGAATTAACTTCTGGCTAAAGTTATGGGAAGCGCAGCCATGGACACCAAGAAGAAGAAAGAGGTTTCCAGCCCCGGCGGGAGCGGCGGCAAAAAGAACCCCAGCCTGAAGAGACGGTCACTGCGTGTGCACATTCCGGTGAGTCCCGTTCCCGGAGCTTCAGACTCCCGCAGCGCCGAGGCGGTTAACACGGGACACCCCCCGCGCGCCATCCTGTCCCTCCTGTCCCTTGGGGAGGGGGAGGGGCAGGGCCCTAGCTGGGCCGCAGAGCCAGTGGTTAGATCTTGATCCGCACTCGCGTGGAGCTCCGGAACTGTCCGGGGCAGGGGCAGGGGCAGGAGTGTCTGCTGGAAGCGGGGACGCGGAGCGCGCTCCCGGGTGCGCATACCCTGGTGGCAGACTGGGCGTAGCCCCGGATCCGGCCGGTGCGGGTGCTGGGGAAGGGGGTGGTGAGTCGTGTTGTTTTGCTGAAAAAGGACGGTGTGGACTGCGCTCTGGAGGGTGGAGCTGTGCTCGGCTGCCAGGGACCGAGGAAAAGAGTAGTGGGTGGGGACATCGAGGGGGCCATGGTGTGGATGCACCCCCAAATAGCTCTCCCTCCGCACCAGTTTCTCCAGGGTTCGTGTGAATCTCGGCTCGGGCCCCTTTGGAGCGGTTCCCTCGGTTTGGCTCCAGGAATATTTTGGGCCTCTGTGGAATTTGGAGGTTAGAGGTGCCCTCATCTATACAGGGCTGTAGCTAACTTCAGCCCAGATCACCACCCTGTCACCTTGGTTGGACTTTGGCGACATTGATCTAAACAGCCAGAAGGAGCAGCATGCAGAATAGCTTGTTCACAGTGGTGAGCATCAATGGTCTGGCTTGCCCTAGAGGGTAGCCCAAGGGCGCCTGTTTTCACCTTCATAGAGGGGGGATCAGGTCCCAGGAGGTATGCCCCAGCCCCTAGCTTTACCCGCTAAGGGAACCCGGACCTGGCTACATCCTAGCGATGACTAACCAAGCAAAAGATTTTACAAATGCACATGCTAGGCAGTGTGGGACCGCACAATGAGCCCCACCTCCCGCCAGTGCTACCTCATGGCATCATCGCTGATCCATCACAGCATAGGCAGAGCTAGCTTGCCTGGACTACCCACTCACTGTCACCCTGACGAGTAAGTAGTAGGCTTTTCCTAATGTATTTACCCCCAACCCCTTCCTTGTAGATGCCCCTCTTCCCTTTAATTCCAGTCCAGGAGTGCAATACTGAGTGGAGACTTGGGGCTAATGAGTGCTTTGCGGGAGCCGTTTGAAGTTGAGCATCTGGGCAAGTCGTGAGTCCTGCAGTGACCTGAACATACAGGAATACGGGTTTTATTTGAGAAAACACTCCTACTTATGTTGCCCATGTAAGACATTTGAAAACAGTTTTAAATAGGAAGTTAGAAATTGCTGCTAAGATCTGTTTAACAGTGACTCACAGAGCTGGCCTTTAACCGCTCAGCTTATCTTGTTTGTCTTAGAAAATGGTGCCCATTTACCCACCTTGTAGGGAGATTGAAATAAAATAATAAATGGGAAAGCTCTTTACAATGTAAAGTGATGTATACTCATGGTTATTACATGCATGCCAGAGTGCAAGAAAGATCCCAGCACTTAGGAGGCAGAGGCATGAGGATTGTTGTAAATTTAAGCCTAGCCTGGGCTACATAGCAAATGGTCTCAATAGAATAAATAATAAAAGTGGGCAGGGCAAGGAGAGAGGATGAGGTGAGGGGAGTAAATAGTGCCCATTGAGCAAGCCCCATTGAATCGAGGCCAAGTGGAGAGGCTGGTCCCCCACTCGTGTGTGTCTGTCATGCAAGAGGGGGCAATATGTGTGGCAGGATAGGGAAAAATCCAGCGCCAGCCAAGAGACTGTTAGGCCACTCTGTGAATGCTGAAAATCAGCGTCCAAGCTGGGACATTCTAGCATGTTCTTGGCAAAACCCAGCCCTATTGAAAGCAGGATTCATTCCATTGTCATGCAGCTAGTCACCAAATGTGACCTATGCCTGGGGGTTTCCTTAGGATTAGGTCCAGATCCAAGGGAGAGAGTTCTGTCTCCTCAGAGTGCTTGCATTTGCTGGTGGGACCAGAGGCTCCTCTCCTCTACCCACGAATGGTGACCTATTGATCACTGTGCCAGGAGAGGCTGGGAACTCGGTACTTCGGACACGTGCTTTAACAGTTAACCCCAGGACGCAAGATGATGGGTCACCTCCACAACAGCTGCCTGTGGAGATGAGGGGAGAGAGTGACAACCACAGCAGATGAAGAGGAGATGGTGTGTCTCGAGCCAGTGAAATGTCGTGTGTCGTGGAGAGAAGGGAGTGGTCTGAGACCAGATCAAGCAGGACCTTGAAGGAAGGTCACCAGAGAGTAAGCAGAAGAGGCCCAATTAAAAATGGATTTCAAACAACAGGCAGTTTTTTTTTTTAAACCTAAGTGTGTCCAGTGTCATGTTTGGAACATACCTGTACTAAAACTGATCCAGTTCTCTACAGATCACTGCTTAATTGGGTATCCTGTATCTCCTCAGATAACCCCGGCTGGAAGGCCAGGCTCTGTCAGGCACAGCAGTGCATACCTTTCATCCCAATACTCTAGAATCAGAGGCAGAGCGATCTCTATATGTTTAAGGCCAACCTGGTTCTCTTAGCGAATTCCAGGCCAGCCATGACTCAGGAATTTCTCACAAAGGCAGAACTGCAGCAAAGACCCTGCCCTTTATGCTCAAGCCTACCTCAAGTCCTCCATGGCTTTGTGGGCAGCTTTGGGCATGTGTCTTCCTCCCTGTCTGAAAGATTCCTCCGAGCGTTGGCAGCTGGTTTTGCTGAATGTGGGAGCACCTCAAGTGCTGGGATAGTGTCTGTGTTAGTTACTTTGGTGCTGAAACAGTAGCTGAGAGCTTGTATCTGATCCACAAGCATGAGGCAGGGGTAGGGGGCACTAACTGGGAATGGCATAGGCTTTTGAAACCTCAAAGCCCATCTCAAGTGACACACCTCCTCCACAAAGCCATGCCCCTTAATCCTTCCCAAGTCGTTCCACCAACTCGGGACCAAGCATTCAAATATATGATCCTGTGGGGGCCGTTCTCTTCTGAACCACCACAGTGCCCAAAGGACAGACTTCCACCAAGTAGGGTGTCACTGGGTAGATGATTCTGATGTGGCTGCACAGAGCATTTCAGGAGACCCCAGCAGGATGCTGTTGTCTTCCCCAAGGGTGTCCATTTGTTAGCTTATCCTCATGGCCTGTCTAGCTTCCTGAACCTTCTTCCTTACTCCTTTGCTGATTCTGTTTAACTTAAAACTATTCACCAAGACCTAAGTTCTTGTCTAGGAGCTTTTTTCAGGGGTGCAAACTGAGAAGCCATTAAAATGCAAGGAACAAAAATTCATGGGAAGTAGCCAGACACGGCAGCAAGATGAAGTGCTTTGGCAGACTGCCAGGGGTCAGAGTGTGAGAGCCCTGCAGTGAGGGAAGGTGGTTGGGGGATGCTCCCAGGAAGATGGGAAGGAAGATGAGAGCAAAGCAGGACCTTGGGTGACACTGAAGCTCCTGGAGAGTTGGGTTCTTCACCTAGTAGGCATTAGTGACAGAATGCACGTGTTCCTAGCCCTCTTGGGAGAGGAGCTCCTGAAGTCCTTCATTGTCACCGGAGACCAACAAAATATAGAGCCAAGAGCATCTGGCCAGTCAGAAGTTTGTGGTGGCACAACTGGGCTTGAGTGAGCTCAAGACACTGTCACCTGCTGTGTGGCTAGAGTCTCACCCTGCTTGAGGCCACTGGGCCCTCTGTGCTGGTGAAGGGCCTGTGACCACACGCTCTGCAAAGCATGGCAATAGGAATAGTGTTCTGACCCTGGGGTTGGAGGATCAAGTGACAATATGCTCTCTATCCCTCTCACCACTGAAACACCCTGAACTGGAGTCTGGGGAAGACATTCACCTTTGACCTTGACTGAGACGGTTTGCACATGCTCTTTGATGGCTAGAGTTTAGGGCAGGGCTTATCAAAGTGTGGTTCTTGAACCAGCTTAAGTATAATATCACTGTCTAATATGCTTTTAAAAATATCAAATCCTAGGTGTCAGTCTAAACCTACTGAATTGGAATTTCTGAGACAAGACCCACGATTTTGTTATTCATTAAGTTCTCCATGGAATTCTTACACCTCTTGGGTTTAAAAACAGTTGGATTCTAGGCTCCATTTCTTCTGTTCACATGTCGTTGGTTCTGTGTGTCATCTGTTTTTCTATCCGTCCATCCTTCCTTCCATCTATTGACCATTCATCACTGTCCTGGCTGGTTGTATGTCAACTTGACACAGCTAGAGGCATCAGAGAGGAAGGATCCTCAATTGAGAAAATGCCTCCATAAGATCCAGCTGTGAGGCATTCTTTTTAAATTAGTGATCAATGGGGGAGTGTCCAGCCAATTGTGGGTAGTGCCATCCCTACACTGGTGGTCCTGGGTTCTATAAGAAAGCAGGCTGAACAAGCCACGTGGAGCAAGCCAGTGAGCAGCACCCCTCCATGGCCTCTGCATCAGCTCCTTCCTCCAGGTTCCAACCCTGTCTGAGTTCCTGTCCTGACTTCCTTTGATGATGAATGGTGATGTGGAAGTGTGTCAATTAAAACTTTCCTCCCTAACTTGCTTTTGGTCATTGTGTTTCATCACAGCAGTAAAAATCCTAAGACAATTACCTGTCTGGGATCTACCCAGTCTATCTAAATATCCATTTAACATTTGTCTATCCATCATCTATCTATTCATCTATCCACCCATCCACCCATCATCTATCTATCCATGCATCCATTATCTATCCATACATCCATCATTCTGTCATCTAGCTCCCCTGTCCAAATATCCATGTATCATCTTCATCCATTCATCATCTATCTGTCCATGTCTGTTTATATTCAAGTATTCATGTATCATCTATATAACTATATTATCTGTCATCTCTGTCCATCAATCATCTACTCATCTATCTCTGTCTATCCATACATCATCTGTATATCTCTCATAAATCATCTGACTGTTCCATCCATCATTGAGAAGAGCTACCCTTTATTACTGACTGTTTGACAATGGCAGGGTATTTCTGG